ATTTACTTCATTAGAACAATTATTTACCATGTTAATTTGATGAGCTTTTGATTCAGCATGCCTAAAAACTCGTGACGAGCAAGAAAACGTTTTATTACAAGGAATATAAAAATATGAAATATCATTAGGAACTTCTTTAATCCAAGATTTACATTTCTCGTTTTCTAACCAATCATGAAAAAATTTACGTCTTTTTGCGTGTTTAGAATCTACTTCATACTGAAGAATACAGAAGAAAGAATTAAAGAAAGATATAAAACAAAGAAAAAACAGTAAGTAATGAAAAAAAATAACTGTAAATATCTTTACAAGAATGCACACTATTGGAAAGAAGAAGAGAAAAAGCGTCTAACAACGTAACCATCAAACTAATAATATATTCAAAACAAATCCTACTACAAAAACCACTTACACATCAAATTGTACACAGAACATAAATAATAATTTAACAATAGGGCAAGTCAAAGTTTTTAGAAAAACATAGTAAAACACATTTTTTTTGATCGATGCATTTTTATTTCTCAACATAGTCTCCTTTCAGGACTACACTCGATACACTTGATCCAACTTTTTCAAATCGTCCGAATAATATGATTTATCCAACCCTTCAAAATAACCCTATGTTTCGGCGATGAGTTGCTCTCTGGTGGTGAATCTCTTTCCTACGAACAATTTCTTCAGGTTTGAAAACAGGAAATTGTCACAGAGAACTAAATCTGACGAATATGCTGGATGGGGAAGCAATTCGTTAAATTTCTATCGGTGCCGGGCACGTGTGAACCCGTGTATTATGTTGATGGAAGAGCACTTTCTTTTTCGCCAAATGGAGACGTTTTTTTTTTTAAATGTTGTTGAAACAGTCTAATAAGGCTGCGTAGTAATCATCATGATTGTTTGCTTCGACGGAAGATAAGCGATATAAATTATATCGCGTACATCCCAAAAAACTGTGACCATCACCTTTTTGGCCGACTTCACGATCTTCGGAGCTGGTTCACTCGGTGAAGTCCATTGTTCTGACTGTTCCTTCGTCTCGGGTATGAAGTAATGGATCCATGTTTCCTCCGCAGTAATGAATCGACGCAGAAATTCATCTGGATTACGTTGAAACATCTCCAAACCAAATTTTGAAATCGTCACATGGTCGCGCTTATGATCCACAGTGAGCAAACGCGGCACCTATCTTATCGATAGCTTTTTCATACCCAATTGTTCGTGCAAAATTGAAATTACTGTGCCATGTGATATGCCTGTGGCCTCAACAAGCTCGCACACTTTCACTCGTCGATCAGTCAAAACAATATCGTGGACTTTATCGATGATTTCTGGCGTAGCAGCCTCAATTGGACGTCCCGAAAGAGGTGCATCACATGTAGATGTACAACCACGTTTAAATTCATTCACCTAATTGTATATAGTCGGAAACGCTGGTGCTACGAATGTGCTACGAACATTATCCAACTCGGCTTTGATTTCTTTTAGCGTTAAATCTTTCATATGTAGATGTTTGATTACTGCACGAAACTCGTTTTTTTCCATTTTGCAAAAAATACAAAGATTTTTCGTTTTAATCTACAGAAATGAAACCACGCGATGAATGAATTCCGCTTAAAATTTGACAGTAATCAGCTGAAAGATGCTACTTGTCAAAAAGTAACGTAACATGACACTACGAATGCCCTCTGACAGATTTTCTAAGAACTTATTGACTTGCCCTCGTATAGTATTATATATAATATCGTATAAAATATTTTTTTTATTCTATCCTACAATTTCGTTTTTTTTTTGGCATATACAGATATAAAATACAGATATAAATGTACGATACACGAAATGAAAAATAATAGTAATACATAATACATAATAAATGGTATTATAAAAACATGATAATAATATTTATATAAATATAAAAACGTACATAGCGTGTAAATTGTAATGAAAATAGTAAATAATCGTATATAATAACATATACGTTATATGAAAATATAAGAAATGTAAAATTATGCAAATTAATTTGCATAAAGTGCAAATTTAGATAATAGTAACATAAGAAATAGTAACACATGAAGCATAATAGTAATACATATACACTATATGAAAAAAATATAAAAATGTAAAAAACATAATAATGATATAAATATTAATGTATATATATTACAAAGAGGAACCAATACCCCCACGATAATGTCTCCGCTTGGTACGACATATCGTTTATCGTCGTATGGGCTTAAAGTATGGGCTTTTCGATTTTGATATCGTACACTTCGTGTAATTTATATCGTATACACGTATTGACGACGCGTCATTTCAATCTCTTCGTTCAAACACCGCGTGTAATCGTCGAATGTTATCGTTCGCGCTATGATGTTACTCTTTAAGCCTTTCATCTTTTTAATGTCCTTCTTGCCATCCACTCTCATATCTTTGTTCTGAGTCTCACGAATTCGGTCATACGGTTGTTCTCATCCTTCATCAGGGTATTTTCTTTACCGGATACTTTCTTATTCGCGAAAGGCATACCGTACACTTTGTCCATCGGATAATCGCTCGTGTCAAATCTAACGATATCGCGTTTCTGATTGTCCGTGTCAGTATATATGATCTTGATTTGTCGCGATACATCGGTGACATGTACTCGTGGTGAAATTCATACAAGCAGACTTTCGATATGTTAAGTATACACTTACCCACGTGATCGGCTTATTGACTTCACGAGTTTGCACAGTTCGACAGCAATCAAATTTTCCGTAAAGATGCTACGACTGTGAAATTCGTTTCGCGATCATTGCCTCCGCGCCATACCGTTCGTCCTATTTTGTTATTAATTGTATGTCTACATGATTTCGAACGTTTTTCATATTAGGTGTTGGAATTAATTCGTAGCGTTTTTTAATGAAAGAATGTTATTTATTTCACATGAGCATTAAAAAATACATTAATGAAAGTACTTCCCATCACTTGTAAAACGCTACGAATTAATTCCAACACCTAATAGTTTTGTCAAATACCGGGTTATTCATAAATTTATATAAATTTTTCTCGAAATCGTTTTTCGCGCGCATTCTAAATGAATGTATTGAGTTCGATATAATCACGGAGCCAGGAGAATTGAGCGAATTGTAACACTCGATGAATCTTTGTTACGCGAAGGCCATGACGAGTATATTGCTGCAGATTACGATAGTGGATGACGTAACGTTGTTTGTCGTACAACGTCGCTAGAAGTTTATCCTCACACTTGCCGGGTGGCTTATCGCGCGTTGGACAGCAAGGTAGATCAGTCGTGTAGATGCTATGGATACTCGAGATCAACTTCGAGAATATAACTGGTGGGCGAATCCGGAACGATCACGCTCGCGTCCAAATTCGCAGCGTCTTTGACCCATTGAAATTTGGCGTATAGCAGCAGTTGATACGTCGCCCATCCAGATTATTCACGTCGTAGTATGTAAGGTACGACGAAGGTTTCAACGAGTCGTATGTACTTGTTATTAGCCTGCACGTATTTGTCTGAACATTGACTGAGGCTACCGCGTATACCGCGCTCGATGAATAGAACCATATCGATGTCAGTGAGTAACTCAAATCTTACGCGCGTATGTTTCAGCATGGCGTCCCACGTAAAATCCGGCAAGATGTAGTAATGCGCGGGATCGAGACACAACTCTCGCGGAAATTTTCGAAAATGTCAGCTAATAATGACACATCAGTTTTCAAGTACAGATCACTGTACTCGCCGAGCGTTCGAATAGAGAATCGCTGTCAGACGTTCGCGGCGTGAACATAATCGCTCTCAAATACGGTGTCGCCCGTCAACAAACTGAAAAATGATTCATGCGATTGTAAACGCATGTCCTCTAACTTTTCGACGCAGTCAACGTACTCCTACGGAAAGACGCCTTTACATATGAGAAGATCAAAATCCTCCGCACTAAGTTTGCAAAATTTTGACTGTATAATTTTTAGTTTTTCTTTATTGAGATACGACATCAATTTATACAAGGCTCGTACTAAAAATTTGAAAGAATCGATGAACTTTTAATTTTATATTAGGTGTTGGAATTAATTCGTAGCGTTTTTTAATGAAAGAATGTTATTTATTTCACATGAGCATTAAAAAATACATTAATGAAAGTACTTCCCATCACTTGTAAAACGCTACGAATTAATTCCAACATCTAATACAATCTTTCTGAAAGTTATTTTCATTTTTATCTTTGGTGCTATCGACATGTTTAGAATGTATTTTTCCTTCATTATAGGAGGGAGATCTACATGTCCATCACATACGCGGTAGCAATTTCTTTAATTATAAAATGTGCGTCATAGCTGGATAAATTGAGAAATACGATCGGAATATATAGCGAATTTTTATTATATAATTTAGATTGCAATTTGTATGCGCTGGACTGCGGTATCTATCGGTGAGATGATAATGATCGCGTACCCGCATGTCGTCCGGCGCGAACGATTTCTCGCAGATGTGACAACGTATCGCTCTATATCCCATTATTCTTTCGACATGGACACGTTAATGAATACGATATTTTTCACGCGATGTGCTAAGTCTTGGAATTGTCGCGCGAACCACGCTGTACTTCTTTAATCTTTATCACGACGGAACTAATAAAATGATAACGCGTATGAGCATTATACGAGGGGTATCCAGAAAATAAGTTCCGTTTTTTTTTTACAAATAAAGTTTTTATTGAAAAAATCTAAAATTTACATGGATAATACTTGACAACTTCTAGTCTTTTTCTACATAATTCCCGTCAATCTCAATACATTTTGTATATCTGGAAACAAGCTTCGAAATCCCTTCTGCATAGAAACTTCCCGCCAGTTCTTTAGTCCAGTTAGTTACAGCTGTCTGAACTTCCTCGTCGCTTTGGAAGCGTTTTCCGGCCAAGGACTCCTTCAGTTTTCGTAAAAAGATGGTAGTCCGATGGTGCTAGATCCGGGCTATACGGTGGGTGGGTCAAAACATCCCAACTAAACTCTCCCACTTTCGTCTTCAAGCGAATGTCTTCCTGCCTTAAATTCTCGGACCCATCTCCGCACCATAGATTCACTCATCACACTCTCTCCATATACAGAAGCAAGCTGTTTGTGAATATCAACCGATTTAAAATCTTGAGCAAAAAGAAACTGAATGATGCCGCGCAAAACAACTCGAGAAGGAATCGGAATGGAGGTGGCGGGACGCGAAGTGGAGGACTCCATTTTGATAACCTCTCCTGACCGTGTTTCACGAGCTACTGACGCCGAACACCGCTCATTCTATTCGGTAGCTTCCCCTCTTCAATGCTGTGTTGCCAGCTCGCTCATACATCGACCTTACTAAACGTATAATACAAACGGAACTTATTTTCTGGATACCCCTCGTATGAGCATCGCACATCCTAATATCCTATACTACCTCATGTTATTTATATATATTTATGACGATGCGTCTTCCTTGTTAGGTTCCATCTTATGTAGAACACATTCCAGATCGGCATAGATGATGAACGGCACTCGTTTCTTATTGCAGTGGTTTGCAAATTCGAGCCATTTGTCGCTCGGCAGTCGGATAGCGCAGTCATTTTGCCACAATCCACTACGTGTGGCTATAATTTTTCATTCGTACTGAAGTAATGAAGACATCTAAAAAACAGAAATTATTACTATTATTATTATTTCAAGAAAATTATAGTTTTTTTATTACACTTTCCGATCACAGAAAAATTTCTTTTTCTTATTCCTAGTAATTTGCGATCTCACGAGACGGGACAGATTCTTGATTCACATGAAGTGGATGACATCGTCGTTGCGTAGATCTTGCAGATACAGCATATTGACGTGCTTCTTCTTCTTCTTCTTCTCATCGGTGAAGCGTAGAAGAAGCAGCTATTTATTTCTCGTACGTTGATCGACTCTACGTTCAACATTTGAATTTTGGAATATCCTTTAAAGTCATTGGAAATTCGATGCCCGCGAGATTCAACACTAGTATAATGTGAATACGATAAATTATTATTCACATTTCTTTCTGCGGGGCGACTACCGATTACAAAGTATGCATTGTTCATGGATTTCACATTGATCACAACTTTCTTCAGCATAATTTCTCGCGGTACTTTGATGTGGCATCCTGTATGCATAGGATTTAGTCTGTTCACGTTGACAATCAAGTTGAGGATTCGCGATAGCGCCCATCCGCTGTCGCGTTTCTGAAACTCTTCAAGCGCTCACTTGCTGTCGCGTTTTTGGAACTCTTCAAGTGACGCCAACGTGGGTTCGATAACGCGCTGCTCGTATTCGCGCAAATCAGTACATCAATATATGGTATATTTTTACGCTCTTGATGACGCTTATTGTTCGCCGCAAACTCATCATTGAACGCGGTATTCACTTTTACACTACTCTGTCCTTCTACAGAGTAGAAGCGCACTCGCTTGAGCACTATATTGCCCGCATCTTCCAAAAACTGTCGCGACTCGATGTAGTTCGCGTTGATTACCACACCAGTCAAAATACGATTCTCAAACGCAGTGTTGATTTCTCGCCAAATGAGATCTTTCGTCGCCACTCGCGTACCCGCCATCAACATGCACGTGAACCGTCGCTCCAATTGCGATTTTACACCCGCGAGTCGCGCGATCCTTGCCATCGCGGATTGTGTCCAACGACAAAGCGCGGACGCTTGGCACGACAAAGTTCTTCAAGCCGCTCGATGAATTCGTCACATCATTGCAGCCACGCGAAACATTCCACCAGAGTGGCGACATGGCCGCTCTGCTTCAGTAGTTCGCGTTCCGCTCGTGATTTTCCATGTTTTTTCCACAGTCTTTAGATCACGTCGCACTCTTCCACGGAGCTCTTGTATGTGACGCTTCTCATTCTCTGCACACTGGCTTTTTATCTATAATTTTAGTAATTTAGCACTGTGATATTATGATACATAAAGACGGAGTCACATTTGTCACATTCATAGCATTCATCATCACACATGTCAGGAAAATATTTTTTATACGTATCTACATATAAACGTATCTGTGATTTCACCCTCTCCACCCACACGACACTAGAGCCATCTGCTGATTGCTGTATCCGTGAATTAGAATAATATACTTATCCTACTTACATATGTTCATACGTAGATACGTTTATACGTACGTTTATACATACGTACGTTACACATATCTACGTATGAATTTACATACGTATAAACATACGTATAAACGTATATATAACCGTGCGTATAAATTTATGTATAAACGTATGTATGTATAAACGTTTGTATGTACGTATGTACAAACAAACGTATATACATACATACGTTTATACGTACTTACGTTTATACATATGTATAAACGTATATATAATCGTGTATATAAACGTGTGTATAAATGTACGTAAGTAGAATCTTTAAACTATTATCCTCTCTCTCCTACCCATTGTAAGATGTAATTCTTTCTTCCACCCGTTGCAGTTCTATACTTATTATTTGCGCTCTTTCTTGCTCCTGTTGTGCTCTCTTTCCTTTTCTTCTTTTGTACACGATTTTATTAAATAGGTACTTGTTTTTTTTAATGATTTTTTTAATAATATGACTCAGCAATAATTTTAATTTAGCAACTGATAATATGTTTAGTAATACAAATAGCCAAGCGTTCCTAATTATCGAATCATTATTAAAACTGTTATTGAATAACTATTCTTAATAATAGAGATAAGGGAAAGAAATGAAATACATTTAAAAAATCTCATACTTTATCTTTAAACTTGATATATTTTTTTCTGACATAACAATTATCAGTTGTATATTTTAAATACATTCTATAATGCACAATTCTTAACATGTTTTCCACATTGTATAGTATTAGTAACATCTAGATTACGTAAAGAATCTATATCTTCGTAATCAGCATCCAGAGTCTCAATTGTTAAGTCATCTCACTATCGAGTATATCAGCCAGCTATTCGCGTTTTTTAAATCCTTTAACGTATATAAGAGCCGTATTGTCATCATTCTCTTCCATACCAATTACAGCCATTGAATCGGGCGTTTCACCATGCTGTACGGAATCATTCTGTCTTTCCATTGCAATCCATAGTGACTCAGCCAGGAAGCACAGTCCTTTTTGGATTTTGTCAAGAAATTCCATGGCATGGACATGTAAAAATGTTATGAGAGAATGGCTCCATTTCTCAACACCGTCACTTCCTTCACGATAAATTTCCTTCTAACGATAAATACAATCAAATTAGACATGCATTAAAAAAACATGTTTTCCTTATGTCATTGTGTTTAACGATATTTCAAAGAGATTTTAAATCGATTCCAGAGATGATACACATATCTCTTTGTTATTGAATATTTTCATGCTTACTGAATGTAAATAGACAAAAAGATAAAGACTTACTTACAATATTGTTACATTAAAGATTCTTTAAATTAATGCTTTATAAATATGTAAGCTATGATGTAATTTTTTATTATTGAATGCAAAAACGGTTATATCATGACATCTCTCAACGATCTGAGTTTCTTTCACTTAATCCGAAGAATTTGTTACGTCTATACTACACATAGTGTACATTCTTCATTATAAGGACTTACAAAATTAGCAGAAATATGACAGTGGTCTGTCAGACCGACGTAACCGTTTGTGTATTTTTTAATATTATATGTATTGTAATGTTAAATAACTGACATACTAATATCAATTGTGCAATTTATTACAAACGTGAACCTTAATCGAGTCGCTCTCAATGCAAATACAGACAAATTATGGTATTACAAATTATAAAATACGGCAATGATTCTGTGTCATTTTGTTTGTTTGATCCCCGTAATTGCTCTTTTCTAATATAAACTATTCAAGAAATTAAACTTTTTCTGATTGTAGAACTTGTTATAATACGTGTTGCATATAATGCAATATTGTCATAATTTAGTACATATCCGTACATGAAGCCGTCAACTGTGTTTTTTATGTTCGAATTGGAACATTGCGTGGAATACATATATTTTGAACTGTGTCAGTATGTTAACAATATGAGTGAAAAATTAAAATAATTTAAATAAATTTTTACGTCAAAGTTGTGTTATTAATAAATTTAATGCTTTTTTCACAAAATTTGTGATAAAAATTTTATTATAAAATATGAAAAAATAGTTCACGCTTTAAATAATATCGAAAATGCTGCATTACATGACAAATAGAAGATTAATCACGAATACGTGATTAATAATTTGTGTGTGTGTGAACTGTTTCCACATTTCGGTCTTCAGTGTACGATTGAACCGTTCGATGACTCTGTTCAAAGAAAAAGAAAAGTTCAGAAATACGAACAGATCTCAATTTAGCAAATTGTGGTTGAGGTTTCTGAGACTACTAGTGTGTATAGTTATGGTTAAAAATGGTGCGATAGACGTTCAATAATGGTTCGATAGATATTTGACATTGATTCGAAAGATGTTTTTGACAGTGATTCGATAGACTTTCGACGATGATTTGATAATTGTCATAAATGTTTTGTGATTATAGTTCACTAATACTATTAACATATGGTGTATATACAATATAATATAAAGCATTTTTTGGTTGATGATTTAAGTTTAACAGATAAAAGTGCATAAGTTCTTCTCAGTAAGACGTCGGTGTACGGCAGTTGTGACGAAGATCACGTTAGATACGATTTTGTATAAGTGTAATATAAAAATTTTTTTCTACGTAAAATCGATATGTTTTGCGGTTAGATTACTCTGTTAAATAGGTAGAAACAGAATTTTGCAGTTTCGCATAAATCAAGCGTGCCGACTTCAGCAATACTTATCGCCAATGATTATAAGTAAGTGAATATTTGTTTGATCAACAACTAGTGAGTGAATATCGTTTTTCAAGGGAACATATATGAACATACAATTATAATACATAATTTTATAATACTACCATCCATGATTGCGTTTTAAGATTGAAAAGGACTTTATTGAGCAGTTTACAGAATTGTCTATGTACGTATATAAATTCACACCGAAATATTTAGGCAATAAGATCAGCTTTGATCGAATATAGAATTTCTTTTATTTAATTGATAGAATTAAAATTTATTTATCTAATTAAAGAATTTTTTATACGGTTTATAACGTATATATTGTATGTATGTATATGTACATATATATATATATATAAACATACATATATATATATACGTGTATGCGTGTATGTGTTATTTCTTGTTGAAGTGTGAATAAAATTATCTTGTTGAAAAATTATCTTGACGAAGAATGAATAAAATTAATATTTCCTGTAATTAAAAAGTAATTAAATATTATAAATGTATAAAAAAAAGAACTAAATTAATATAAGTCATACAGACAGGTGTTCGGCAC